CTGGGTTGCTTAGTCAGTTAAGCATCTGCCTTCGGGGCCCTGAGATTGAGTCCTGCATTGAGCTCCTTGCTCAGTGTGGAGCCTGCTTCTCCCTCTGCCTGCCGCTCCCTCTGCTTGTGTGTGCTCATGTGCTCTCTCTCTCTGACAAATAAATAAATATAATAATTATAAAAAAATAAATTGCTTTTGCATATCTTTAAAATAAGAGTTGGGCATATTTGTGTGTCTACATTTTGGATCTCTGTTTTGTTCCATCAATCTGTGTGTCTTTTCCTCTGCCATTACCACACTGTCTTGACTGCTGTAGCTGTATAATAGGCCTTCATATTAGATAGAGGGATTTTTGGTAGATTATTTTTGGTAGGCCTTGTGCCTTCCATGTAAATTTTAGAGTAAGCTTGCCATTATTTTGTTTCTATGCTAAGATCTTGATAGGAGTTGCATTTAAACCTATAGAAAATTTGGGGAGAATTGACATCTTTATTGAGTCTTCCAGTACATGAATATGGTATGTTGCTTTTTTTGTTCATCAGCATTTTGTAATTTTTGGCAAACAGATCCTGTGCATACTTTGTTAAGTGTATACTTAAGTATTTAATTTTCTTGGGAGTAATTTTAAATAGTATTTTTCTAAGTTTCAGTTTCTACATGTTTATTTTTAGTATATAAAAAAGTGATATTTGAGTGTCGATATTTTGTCAACATTGCTGAACTCATTTATTAGTCCCAGTTTTTGTAGCTCTTCATTAGCATTTTAAGGTTTGCTTTGAAGCATTTTATCCTTTTTTTCCTATTGTTTTTTTTTTTTTTTTTAAAGATTTTATTTATTTATTTGAGAGAGAGAGAGAGCACATGAGAAGGGGGAGGGTCAGAGGGAGAGGCAGACTCCCCGCTGAGCAGGGAGCCCGATGCGGGACTCGATCCTGGGACTCCAGGATCGTGACCGGAGCCGAAGGCAGTCGCTTAACCAACTGAGCCACCCAGGCGCCCCTTCCCTATTGTTATATATTAGTTTATTCCATAGTAACCAAATATTATGGGCTTTTAGGATGCAGGCTGTTAATATCCATAGTCAATTTTATACCCAATCATTTGGTAATTTTTTATTATAATTTTTCCCAGTTGATTCTGTTGGGTTTTTAGCTAGAGTATCATATAATCTGTAAGTAGTTACAGTTTTTCAACCCTCATTTTCACCTCTTATTTTAATTGTCTAACACCTCCAAGACAGAGCTAAATAATGGTGATTAAGGATACCTTTACCTTACTTGTAATTTTTCCTTAGACTTTTAGTATCAATGCTTTTGATTTCAAAGCATTGCATCCAGGAGCAATTAATTTTATCATTAGGTAGAATGCAAATAAACTAAAATATATAGTACATTACAGTTGTTGAGTGTTTTAGGATTGGGATATTTTATTAAATCTTTAGGAACCGGAGGGATGACATAAATGCTTTTTCCTTCAATAATTTTATTGTTGAAACTAAAATAATGTGGTAGGCCTTCTTGCTTTGTATATATAAATTAGTGAATAGAATTAAATTTTTTTGATTGAAGATTATACAGTGCCTTATTTTGTTCATTCTTTTATTTTACTTGTAAATTTAGAAAACATTGTTGATAGGAAGGTATATTTATCTCTCAGGCCTTTCCTGGAAATTGATTTTCTTCTTTTTATTTTAAAATGACTCCTTTACAAATTCTTTGGGAAAACTTATTGTTATTTGCTTTCTTTTTCTTTCTTTCTTTTTTTTTTTTTCAAGATTTTATTTATTTATTTGACAGAGAGAGACACAGCGAGAGAGGGAACACAAGCTGGGGGAGTGGGAGAGGGAGAAGCAGACTACCTGCTGAGCAGGGAGCCCGATGTGGGGCTCGATCCCAGGACCCTGGGATCATGGCCTGAGCTGAAGGTAGATGCTTAACCTACTGAGCCACCCAGGTGCCCCAATACCAAGGAATATCTAATAGAAGCTTCATTTAATCAT